CGTTAATGTATTTTTGATTAACAACCTCAACGATTTCAAAGTGAGCAATGGCAACACTGTACGAAAAAAAAAAATTCTTTTTATCTACAGCGCGCGAGATTGTGTATTGGAAATTCTAAAGATATGCTCTTGTAAAATATTATGTGATATCGCTGTTGAACTGAATTTTATGGTTTAAGTGCGAAGAATGTGATATTTAATAAAGGTAGCACAAAACGTTAAAGAACGTTCCTTTGGGTGTTCCTTTTACCGAAAATATACAATCTGAAAGCTTTCAGATTTTTTTATTTACTTTTTAAATAAGTATTTTCATTTAATACATTTTAACTAATAGAATGCAAACATATAATTACAATGGAACCGTGGATCAGGAAAGTCTCACCTCACAAACAATTCAATTCACGAACAAATCATCTGAACAAAAGGCCTCGGATAAAAAACTGTGCCTTAAGTTACAAATACACAGCAAATAATTTTCAAAGGCGTTTTGGGGTAATTTATGTCATAAATTAAACATTCAGAGACTTTTAGACATTTTAATATTTTCCATTGCTTAATTCTCATTCCTTGATCAAGTATCTCACAGGACCATGAATTCTGAAGGAAATTATACCCAGATTGGATTGCAAGAGAGACTTTAAAGGTTTAGGATATTTTTTTATTTATTTGTTTTTGTTATCTATAATATTGTGTGACTAGGCAAAATCATGGGCTATCAAGTTAATAAAAATGTGGGAAAGCTGTTACAGGACCATAAAAATGAGCTCAACAAGAAAGAATTACAACTCCAAAAACAGCAACGAAAAGCGATCGTAAAAAAATGTCTTCAGAAAAGAGAGAAAGGGGAAAAAATAATCCTAGTTCTCTGATTCTCAAATTTTATGGGATTTGGAGGAGAGGCAAAATTTTCCCTCAACGATATTATGCTGATAAAAGAGTAGAGCAACAAATCACATTGCACAAGTTTTGAGTGAAACAAAGGCTCAAGTGAGTCTGCTGTAGAGCAAATGGTGGTCCGAGGGGGTTTCATGCGCTTTTCTGACGCCTATGCTGTTTATTTAGTTTTGATGTCAAGAATTCGCGGTGGTCGAGTTATGAATCACCGTAAAACTGTCGAAGAGAATAATTGCATGCGTTCTTATTTGTTGATTACTATATTTGTCTTTCTTTCTATTTAAATTTAATAAAATATACGTTCTTTTTATGCAGCTGTAGCTATATATATCTTTGGGACTAGTTAGCTATGTATATATCTTTCCTATATCTAGTTGCGCCCCACCAGTGACCGCAGCTTGCCTGGGTTCGAACCCACGTCGAAACTCATAGTTTCGACTATGAGTCGAAACTCATACCACGATCACGTCGTGGTAAGTTCGACGTGGTAAGTTTCGACGTGGGTTCGAACCCAGGCAAGCTGGCTGGCTGCACGGTTGTTGTTCATGGTTTACCCCACGTGTAACGTGAATACCAGCCAGCTCCCCTTAGAAAGTCCTCCATGAAGCCATCGCTATTATTCAGTTAGCCTTCGTGTGCTTTGCCCTAGTCAAGTAACCTAAGTTATTTCTTGTTAGATGTCACGCTAACATGTACATTTAGCGGCAAGTTATGCCTTCTTAATGGAAAAATACCGGATTATCCTATGAAGCTGTTCAAGTTAATTTCAATATAAACTTAGGATATAGCAAGAATAAACGTTAAATTATTTCTTTGAGGATTATCAAAGTAGGTAGCGTAACACATGAAAGAAGAACAATTCTCTGCCAGGTATTTAATAGATGAAGATAGAAATGTACTTTATTATTTGCAATAATGCTGCAAATTTGCAGGAATCACTTGTGGGATTCTCCCTTCTTAAGAACTAATAAGCGAATAATCGCTTGAGTTCGTGTAGATGAAACAACAAGCAAAAAAAGGGTAAAATAACCCTTTATTATTCAAATAAGAGTTAACAGAACTCGGCCTTGGAGTTTTACAATAAAACCGAATATTCGAGCTTTGAACTTAAGATATTAAGAACTAAACTAAATTAAGCTCAACTAAAGAGATGTAGCCGAAGCTATCAAAGTTTTAACGTAGTTGGCCCCTTAAACACGAGATGACTGCGAAGCTATCAAGGGTCTGAGTACGGCCGAGCGTAATAACAACTTTGAAAGAGAGTAGCCAAAAAGGCGGACGCGCGCTAATCAGAATCTCTGATTCTCTCTAACTCAGCAAGTGGAACTACGCGCTCTGATTCTCTCTAACTCAGCAAGTGGAACTACGCGCTCTGATTCTCTCTAACTCAGCAAGTGGAACTACGCGCTCTGATTCTCTCTAACTCAGCAAGTGGAACTACTACCGCTCCTCCTCATTATGTATTCAGACGTGATTCTAAAACTACATTCTGGCTGGAAGTAGTCAGTTGAAGTTAAGAATTTAACAGGAAAGAAGTTTAACTCAAAAATTGTAATTGTTAATAAAATTAACATAATCCTTACATCAGGCTTCCCAAGCATAGAAAACATAAAATTACCAAACGTATCTTCGTAGAGATACGAACCATGGATCTTCCAACTACTATTAGACATGATAAGAGCACGCACTAAGAAATGCAATAATTCTTTATAACATTCATAAAAAACTACCATTTAGACTTTTGTAAATCAAGCGCATATTACAATAATATCAATTAGATAGATTATTAAAATAAAATTAAACCAATCTGACCATCAACTAAACCAAGCTATTCACCGCTGACCTACGATTTGATGATCCTGCCTCGTATGAAGTGGTCTAGCAAATTTAAATAATAAACAATTAAAATAATTTCAAATAAAACGTCACGGGTGTCTTATAGTTTGACAGGCAGAGGCAGTCAGATAGACACTATAATCGTGAGACAGTGAGATGAATTTAAATAATTTTCTAAATTAAAATTAAATCAAAAGACACCGGTGGCCACGAAGGCTGTTATTTACCGATGAGTTTGAGAATTTCCCTCGCTTGCTCTCGTGGCTCAAGCGATTAGCATGTTCAGCTATCAAATGGAAGATCCAGAGTTTGAATCCCAAATAAATACTTTTTTGTGTCTCGTGTTTCGAAAATTTCTACAGAGGGGCCAAAACCAAATATGATAGACAATAATTCTCAATAAAACCTGGATTTGGTGGACTAGGTGTCGTGCCTCTCTTCAGTCACTTTTTCATTTGAAGAATAATATAAGAAATTAATATATTATTTCGTGTGAGCTCTTGAGTTGAAAGCGATAGTACGTCAGCCTAGCAGTTGGAATGCCGTGATTAGAATCCCAGTGGGGACAAGTTGGTTTTTCATACTTCGTGATTCCAAATGTCTGGTTGTATTTACAACTTACAAGCTTATAGTCAGTTGCGATAAATCGATAAGTCACCGGTGCAGAGCGATGCAATAAGTTTAGATAGACTTTTAAATTACAATGAACCAGAAGCACACTCATTCCCGTCAAGGCTGTGGTCAATGTTGGCCACTATTTGACAGTTTCTAGAGATCAGTCAATTGAGAGGGAGGGATTAAAGATGAAATCATGTATATACATAACTTAAATTAGCAAAAATGAAGAAATTCTATCCTTATGAAGTAAATCTTTCTTCTTGTTGGAATGTTTCAACTATACCACTCTCTTCCGGTGGTGTGGTGGTTAGCAGTACCGGTTGCCTCATCGTTGCAACAGGCTCGAATCCCGGAGAAGGCGTACAAATGGTTATAGTTATTTTTTTCTTCCCTGTTTTGAATGTAAGTCTATTCCTCCCGGCAGTGTACTCTGGGCAATTTTTCGGTGACTGATGGATTCGGCCATTGACGATTAATGTCCAATAAGCAAATATCCAGTCATTGAAAAAAAAAGTTTAAATTGTAACATTTCCCCCTATTTTATTAATTCGACAAGTACGAAAAATATGAAATTCAGCTTTAACTTCGGCCTGTTTTAGGAAAGCAGTCTTGTAAAAGCTGCGCTCTTTCAATAACGATCAATTTCTTATCGTAATTTTTAACTACCTCAATCGCTTATACTAGCTTCATTAAACACTATAATAATTTCATTCACGGCAGATTGTAGAGTATTTTTGGAATATCCAGGAACTTTGAATCTATGCTTCAGTGTAATAGAATTTAGGGTTTGTTAAAATTCTGAGTATGAACTACGGGTTTAAGCAAACCGCATGTGGGAAGTTCATAAAGGACTATTACATTTTCGCGGAAGTGCTGTCGTATTGTGACAAGTTAGCCAATCCAGCTAGCAATTTGAAAATCTGTGGTTGTAACCCCGATGAGGGCACAGTTAATTTTTCTCGTGTGTCGACTCAGAAAATCTAATGGTTTCAATACTTTCAGCAAAGATATACTTTACAAGAACCATGACAGACACAGGAGTAACACTCCCGTTCTTGAAATTATCAGTGCTTAAATTATGCACAAGAAGTGACAAGAAGTCAATTTCTGTTGGGCAAAAACAGTGATACTATTCTGCAGGCAAAGTTGTCGAATATGGGAGCAGAAGCAGTTTAAACAGCAAATATATTATTCGAAAGCAGACCTTTATAGGCCCATATAGAAAACATTGCGCGGCCTATTTCTGTTTGCAGAACCACAATTATAGGTATCCGTTACTTTGACATGGTGAAAACCTTTTTTTCATAGTTATCATTTAAATTCTACATTTCAGCAAGATGAGGCAATACTGCCATTTTGAAATATATTTCCGCGATTATTTCAGTGTCATCTTTCCTTTCACGCGTAACCTGACAACGCCCGTTTGGGATCTTAGGTATAGCATTCTTTTAGGGGCTCCCAGTGCTCACTTTCTTTGTTTGCAAGAGATAAAAACAGAGTTATGTTGAGTTATACGTGATATGCAATCCTTCTAAAAATTGTGCTACAGTTCAGACGTTTTGGACCCAGGTGGATCTTTACCCGTTTGCATAGAACGCTCATCTGACCTATTATTATATTATTAATAATTATTTCATAGTTCACCAGCTTACCTGCGATGCTAAGAGTGGAACTTGATAGTAAGTTGGTCTGTTCCCAGCTTGTGGTCCTTCAGCTCCAAGTAATAGCTGTGAATGAAACTTTTGGAGATATTCTTGAGCTGGTCCAATGTCAAAAGGCAAAGGAGGACGATATTCCAGTCTCATCAACTGCAATTCATTGAAGTTCAAATTCAAGGAATCCATACAATCCATATCTTCAGAAAATCCAAGATCCAAATGGTACTTTTTCTTCCTTCTGAAAGCAAAATAAGAAATAATTTCTTACTTGAGTGAAACAAAACACATAACTTATATCTTATTCATCATAAAGTTAAAATATTATTTCATTATTAGCATAAAACAATAATCTGTGAGAAGTGCCAAATGTTAAATTCAAAAATAAAATAAAATTTCCATTCCTATCATACTTCAACTAATTATAAAAAATTGAAAAAAATTCTCAAATAAATTAACAAAAAGATGAGATTTACTTAATTAGAAGCATTTATTAAAAGACGTAGGCTAATATTAAAATATCAGTGGACCTAGACTGCCAATATCACTTTTTGAAAGCCCTGAGCGCTGCACACTTGATTTTGCGGAATAAATTTAGCAGCCTACCCTAAGTGTAGGTTATCAACTGTTTGCATAGATAAACATGTAGCCTAAGTGTTTATCTATGCAAAGTGTTGAAATCATTATCCTCTCTTTGCCCTTGCTTGATTTAAAAAGATTCTGAAAAAGTGTAAAATATCTAAGCTGTTATGCATATACTTTTCTCAAATGATATTGAGAAAATAGACTTTACGATTCAAGAATTTTAATTATGCATCTCCTTAGTTTATAGAGTGATTAGGATATTTTTGGAAGCAAGAGAGGTTGAAATATTAGCATCGCCTTCACCGGGAATCGAACCGCGGACCACCACACCACGATATCATGCCTAGAAGGCGGGAGAAATACCTTATATACTCCCCTTTTAAAGGGCGACTGATTTTTTACTTTAAACCAGTCGACCTTATTACTGGCGACTTTCAAAGGGCGACTGGAAACAATTTGTTCACCACTCTGCAGTTTATTCGCATCATGTGTGCAGTTCATCTCGGTACTTCTAGCAGTGTACATTTTTAGTACATTGCTTATTTACCTCTATTTCCTGAAAGTCAGATACGATGTTTGCATTAGAGTTATGAATAGAATCCGAACTTTTACAAACAGAAGTATCCTGGTTTAGAATCAAGATTGTGTCTGTACAAATTGTATCATGAGACACATTCTTAGTTTGAGAAGTGGTTGTATCTTCTTGCAATACTGGAACACTCCGCTTAAGCTGTACATCAGTTTCTCCCATCTCTGCATCACACGGATTTTCCAGGTGTTTCAATAATTGCTGACTGCGACTTCGTAACTTCACTATCAGTTTCTACGAACTTAGCAGTCGCATTTTCACTTTCTTCCACTTCTACTTCAGGCATCTGAGAAACAAAAGCTTCTTTATCGTCTTTTATTTCTTCATGTTTTCGGTTTTTTTCTTTTATCCAATTAGATGTTTCACCCATCAGTTCTTGATCTTTCTCAGACACTTCAGTAGCAATTTTCGCTATTTCATTAACCTTTGATTCTTCAGATGCCAGTTCTGTCATTTCCACATCTTCTTTTATGGCTCCAGTTTCTTTTGTAAGCTCCACTTTTATCTGTAGGAGATGCTCTCGCAATTTTTCTTGGCTGACATTTATTTATTCTTGCCGGTTTTCATCTCTTCTCGTCCGGCTTTCATCTCAGCACTCATCTCTTCACATCCAGCTTTTATCTTATCATATCCGGCTTTAATCTCAGCCTTCATCTCTTCATATCGAGCTTTTATCTCTTCATATCCGACTTTCAACTCGTCTATTCTGGCTTTTATAGCTACTAAGAAGTGCGTCAGCTTCATTTCCTCTGCCATGGCTTTTTCCTGCAGGCGGGTCACTTGCATTCCTGGTATTCGCTTGCAAACCCAAATCCTGACACCAGTTGCTGCGTTTCTTACGGGTTCATGCAATTTGGAGTGATTGACGACAACACATGATGAAGTATCAAAAGACAATTTATTTGTCAGTATTACTTAGCTCCAAAAACACGTTTATAGTCGTCGAAAAACTACGACACATACACTGAAACAATCAGCAACACAGCCTTTAGGCGAGTACCATTTTGACTCTTACACATGTCAGAGATTTAACGCTTTCACACTATAACCTATATTTAAAAATCTTTGCTGTACTCTCTTGTGCTCGGTACGAAACGACTAAGTAAAGCCATAAAAAATGGTCAATTTTACATCTCCAGTCTTCGTCAGTCATTTTTATATCTCCAGTCGAAAATAAAAAAATGCGAACTACGTAAAATGTCCGTATCTTGAAAGGCTGTCCGTCGTATGTTCAAATGATGTTGAAGTTTAAAAAAATAATTAATTTTTCTTTATCTTTCCCGTATTTTTTTTAAAAAAGTTGTTGTTGGAGCCAAAAAAAAAAAAAAAAAAAAAAAAAAAAAAAAAAAAAGAAAAGATTCTTGTGACCACCCTTCTTTCAAAATAGTTCATGGAATTGTGAATATATCTGTAGGTAATCTCAGAAGATTCGTTATCACGTCAAGCATCTTAGTTGATAGAAAATGAAGTAGGTTGGATCCGCAGCGAGTTCAAATGTACATTTTCTTTAGTGAAAGTTTGGAAATGAACTTTTGAACATTTGTCATATATTTATACATATTTATTCCTAGGAATTGATCATCATCATCAACACTCGCATCATCCCATATAGTGTTCTGCGCCACTTAAAAATTTGCGCATAATCAAGATCAGCTATCCTCATTCATCAGCTTTTCTCATATATCTACGAGTGTGTATCAGCTGTATCTACTTACTGCACTTGATATATTGTGCTCCGTTATGTTAGTTGTATTTTATTGCCCATTTTCTTTACTGTATCCTGCTTATGTTCTGTGACACGAAATATGACACGAAAAATGTGCAAAGCCCCCACCGTAACTCACACCTGGACCTTACGAATACGCGCCGAGTGTGCTACCGTTAAAGCACAAAAACATGCAGAAAGAAGGCAGAAAATACCTGATAAAAAGTACCTTAGATTTCACGTGTATCTGCATTTACTTGTTGGAAAAAAATTCCCGCAGCATTCCTACGGGTAAATGCTATTATCTATTTGATAGTATCCCCATTTATCAATTGCTTAGTCATTAAAACATTAAATTAGCATTAAGATGAAGTTATATAGATTTCTTGATTTGCACAATTGATTCAAATATCTTTGAAGCATTGTGGGTTGTACTGAAAAATGTATTGAGATTCCATTTTCTCCCTACAGCATCTTTGAAGAAACACGTAGCAGTTTCTTATAGAAAAATTATATCAGTTATTTAATACCACCATTCAGAAATTCTGTGCTTCCTTTCCAAGATTTCGAGCAATTTTGGAGGATAAAGATGCTTTTACATCATACTGATAATACACATCTTCATTTTTTAAGAGTTTAAATTATTTTGGACAAACCCTGTATATGCATAATTTTCAGCTTAAGCGCATTTTTGTGTGAGTTTTTATCATATGGAGTTTTATCCGCATGAATTACTTTTTGTATCAACTTTTTCTCTATATGAGCATTCTTCTGTGAAGGCAACCTACCGTGCGGGTATTTTACCTCTGAGGGATCATGATTGTTAAGATTTTATCCGTGAGCTTTTGGAGAGTGTGCTGGAGAGTTCCTGGTGGTCTTTTTCTTTACGGTCAGCTTTCCTTGCGGGTGTTTTTCCCTGTGACAGGATTTCATCTAAGTCATTTCATCTGTAGCCGTTTTATGAGTTTACTTTTTCCCTGCGAGTGACTTTCTAAGAGGATATTTTTCCATGATGGCAGTTTTTCGCGCGGATACTTTGTCTATGGTCAATTATGATTGATAAGTTTCGTAAGTGGGCTTTGCTTGAGTGCAGATTTTTCTTAAGAACATTTTCGTATGGGAACATTTTTCTGAGCTTGTAATTTTCCGCGTGGACATTTTTCTTGTGAGCAGTCATATCTGTGGGATTTTCTGTATGGGCTTTTCTTATACATAGGTATTTTTTACGAGGGCAATCATGCCTCTTACGAATCATGCCTCCGCTCTTATCTGTGAGCGTTTGTTACATACTCATTTTTCTTGTGGATTTCTGTTATGCAACCTATTATGAGAGTATACAGAAACTTGAATCCTAATATCATCAGATATAATAAATGTCCTAGTGCGAATAGTGCTCTGCGGAACAATGACTCATGATATTATCAGACTCAAAATAAAAAAGCTTATTCAGCTAACATCTTTGCTTCTATTTTAATTAGGAAACAGGTAAAGATTTCTGGAAATAGAACGTATCAAAGACGCATATTTTCAAAACAGAAAACAATCAAACTACCTGACAGTCCGTTCTTCATAAGCAAGGACTTTGTACTTCTTATAAGGCTTCCATGATGATAGGACAGCTCCTGGACAAGAACTGTTTACCTTTCTGGAAAGTCTGTCGGCTGCCTGGACAGTAAAAGGAACAACGATCACTTTCCGTAAAATGTAGTCCAGTTCCATTCCTCCTGGTACCACCCAAGAATCTGCCGAAGAAGTTGCTTTTTCTGGTGGGGGTACGAAATAGCCAACAGCAGAGATGGAATAATCAGGCTTGGTGCACCACGGGTCCAAGTAATAGTACCGAACTAAATGGAAGTGCCCATTTCGGAATATGTGGTAACGCCGTACTTGAAAACGAGGTCCTGGTTGAATCTCACACCTGTGGGAGAAATTCAAGGTTAGTTGACTTTATTTTTATTGTTATTATTCAAGTCACGAACTGTAGGCCCAGAATAAAAATTCTAAGAGGCAATTATAATTCTTCACTTGAAGTTATTTAAATACAAAACAGATTTTGCTTTTCTGCATGTTTTGTTGTTCATGGTTTCAGTTTATTATGTGTTGTGCAAAAGAAGTATAAGCTTATATATTTTAAACCATGGGACCTATTTTCCCTTAGACAAAACTGGATAAAAAAAAAGCTCTAAAAAATATTTACTGATGCCATTACTGATAAGGATAAAAGAAGCTCTAAAAAATATTTACTGATGCCATTACAAACTTTAATTAGTGAAATTACAGATGTAATATATAAATAATGCAAATACATCGTTTACCATTTTAATAATCATGTAAATGACCATGCCTACTGTTATCAAACCCGTCAAATTCACATGACCTCACGATTTCTAATGTGGTGGCCGTACAGTTGTAGAGACAGGTTGTGAGAATTAGCGCTAATTTGAAAATCGAAGGTTCGCTAAATGATATCAATTACCAGTGAAAGTGCATGGAAAATGTCCATTTATTTTGAGCATTTGATTTTTCAAAGCCTAAAATAAGAAATTCAAAGCTTTAATTCTCCTTCAATTTTAAAATTTTATACACTTAAAATCTATTTCTTTTTTAATTTCACATATCTTAAATATGATAGAAGAATTTTAAAGCCTCGTTGAAAGTGAATTGCAAGTTTCTGTTATTATTATTATTACGTTAAATTAGGTTCCCAATCATAATTAAAATAGATTTCTATCATCCTATAATGAGTTCATTTCATACTCTAAATCAGTTGTGATAATTGTTCAGTTTTGCTAAAGCAGTTTGTCCTCAGTCCTATCCTATCTTTCTTGGTTCATGTCATATATTTCGCTGATCAGAAAGTCACGCAAAATTGAAGGCATACAGTTAAAAAGCAGAAATTGAATTTTAACGGTGGCCTATTTGAGCGTTCGCTGATCTTTCTAAACACTAATCCCTTTTGAATAAATCTGGAAGTCAGTGTTAGGAGTTGGTAAGTTTTATTTAGGAGTTTAGTGTATTGCAAACCTACCAAGTTTTAAACTTTGAATTAGAATTTTGTTTTGTAAATATTTGAAATTTATTTACAAGGGAGAGCAACCTAATTTTTGTGTTACATTTAGTACAACAAATCATTGTTTTAGCTCGTACTATAATTTCAGTTTCTAGATGTAAATTCCCAGGAACTGCTTGACAGTCTTTTTTATTTCGTTTTTACTCGGCCTTTTTTTTTTTTTTTTTTTTTCAGTTAAACAATTGTTAAGAGTAATAATTAGCCAACAAGTTAAGATAGTTCTGTGTATTAGACTTTATTTTGAGTGTTCATTTTCAGTTAATTTCATACCACAGATTTATATAGTGACTCTCATTTTACGGACACAGGAATTCATAAAACTATACAATGTTTTGCATGAAATCTCTACTTACTTCATAATTATAAATTAAATTTTTTTTATTTATTAGTAAAAGCATCTAATAATAAATACATAAGGTATTTCTCCCGCCTTCTTGGCATGCCTTCGTGGTGTGGTGGTCTGCACGCTCGGCGCGTATTCCAGAGGTCCGTGGCTCGATTCTCGGCGAAGGCGTTGTTAATTTTTCATCTTGCCTGCTTCCAAAAAATCCTAATGTCTCTACAAATATTTAAAAAATTGAAAATATGTCAATGTTGAATACACTTTATGTGGATTATCAAAAGAAAATCATTACTATGATTTTCTTAGAAGTTTCATTAGAATTTTTTTATTAAACAATTAGAATAAAAATTTCGTAAACATACTTGTTAAAGTTATTAATGCTATATAATTAGATATATTCAAGTATTATAAAAATTATATATTTGTCACTATAATGAGTTTTCACATTAATTTATTAATCACTATCTTTTATTAATCACAAATGTCTATATCTATATCTGTCTATCTGTTTGTGTGTCTCTCAATCTACCTGTTTGTCTTTCTAACTGTTTGTCTATATATATATATATATATATGTATGTTATGTATATGTGTGTGTGTGTGTGTGTGTGTGTGTAATGTTTTTACTTTTGGCGGGAGATAAAAAACAATTCACGTTCTAGTCTTGGCCGAAATTACTGCTGTGCAGATGATTGGAAATGCGTCACAGTGGATTGATCCGCTGAAAATTTAGAAGAAGCACGACCAGCTTGATAGTTAAACATAATTTATTTTTGAATGACGAATTTCTTAGCATATATCATCCTAACTTGTAGAAGATTAGGGGTGCTAAACGCCCCCCCATAAATTTAGATATGCAGTTACATTTTAAATAATGGCGAATAGCTACTAGAGACTGAGCGATGCGCTATCAGCTGGCAGGCGAAAGAGGCAAAGAGAAAGATTATAGATTACACAGTTAGTAGTTATTTATACTAGATAGGTGCATAAGTGCAGCTAATCCGTGATTGGTTAACTTTGGGTTTTAGTTCCATTTTTCAAGCAGGGTTATGTGACATGGAAAGATCTCGAATTTGGGAGAATAGATAAATTTAGGAGAAGAGCATAAAATCTAGATTCGTTAATTTTGAGGTCGATAATCGTTTTTTAAAGCAGCCATCGTTATGTAAGGATTATGTTAATTTTATTAACAGTTAAATTTTAAGTTCCTTTCCTGTCAAATTGTTAACTTCAACTTACTACTTCCGGCCAGAACGTAGTTTTGGAATCATTCAGAATACTTAATGAGGAGGAGCGGTACTTAAACCGCGAAGTCTACTTGCAGAGTTAGGGAGAAACAGAGTTTCTGATTTACGCGCGTCTGCCTTTTGGGCTACTCACTATCTCAAAGCTGTTATTACGCTCGGCCGTACTCAGGCCCTTGATAAGCTTCGTAGTCAAATAGAGTTAAGGGGCCAACTCTGTTAGAATCTTTATAGCTTCGGCTATATTTCTTTAGTTAATCTTAGTTTTAGTTTAATTTTTAGTCTCTTAAGTTCAAGCCCAAGTGTCGGCTTTGATTGTACACTCCAAGGCGGAGTTTTGTTAAATCTTATTGAAATAATAAAGGGTTAGTTACCCTTCCATCTTGTTGTTTCTTGTTACACGAACTTAAGTGATTATTCGCTAACTAGTTCTTATTCATCACTTTCTACAGTAACTGAGAAATACACTAGTGAGAATCTTACAGTATTTTGTTATGTATGTAATAAAAGCAAATTTTAGAAGTATTCATGTAGGAACACTGAGAGGTAGAAACGCAGAAATACTGATGGCGAAACACTTAGATCCATACTGAAGAGAAAGAAATCTGATTGCGTAGTATGCTAATATGTTCAGTTCGTAATATCCAAGAAATTGGCAATTGAGGCGGATTAAACATTTTTATTTAAATTGACATGTGGCCACAATTCATTTGGCACTCTAATCGTGCTTATTTTCCAGAACATTTACTTTCTGATACTGTTGCGATAGGAAGAGAGCACCGCGAAATAGTGTCCAAGCAGCACACAGACAGAAACCAAAGTACGCCTTTATCCAGTATGGAAAATATCCAAGAGGAAGATTTTAGTTCTCAAAATTTTGAGTTTAGGTTCCGAGTTACGTCATCTGCGTTGCACAGGCCATGCAAGATGGTTTGATCTAGAAATGACGCAATCGAGAGAGGTTATTACGATTTGTAGAATAGAATAGAGAGAATTAAGGGGTTACCCGTTAGTATAAATTATAATTTTGATTTACGTATTTTTCAGAGCGAAGCCCTTTATAAGTAACTGCCCCAAGCGTCCCTTTAACCATTGGTGAAAACTCATACACTAATTCGTTAATGTGGATTTTCCTTTAAGATTAAATGTTTGGATTAAAAGTAAGATGTGGTGTCTTCCAGTTTGTACAAAACAAGTAAATTAGAAATATATGTAAAAATAGAAAGCATAATTTTAGTAATATTATTTTAAATGACGTGTCGAATGAAAAAATTAATTAATTTATAATATTTTGAAATTTTTTAGTGATTTTGCAATGCAATTAATAGATGCATTTAAAAATTTATATTTGAAAAGTTTTAAAATCCTCCCCTAAACAGATATAATTATGAAGTAGTCCATATATTATTATTATTATTGTAAGGCAATGTAGAATTTCATTTACAAAATTTAAAAGCCCTAACTTTTAATTTTTGCATATTTTATATCAATTAACTAATTCGTAGATTTTTATGGCCATAATTTGTAAATGCAATCTTTGATGACTATACAATACTAGAAGCCAGTTACCTTTATTATATAAAGGTATACTGGTAACTGGTATATAATAATAAAGGTAATAATAAAATTAAGGAATGGAGGTTTTTTAGGTTCTATTGCAGCCCACAGCCATCAGCAAATTGTTACGCTGATTTGCATTGTAGAGGACTTGCCCATTTTCATCAAAACTTACTATGTTACTATACCGAATTTTGTTACTTTTTTATATTCATTAAGTTCTAAATTCCATTTTGCATTGCTTTACAACTAAGAAAATGTGGATTATTTTACAAATGTTAAATAATTAATGTTAAAACAAATTTCATCAATATGTAAAAGAAAATAAGAAAAAATCTTGGATTTATATTGATAACAATAAATTTTACGAAATACTTTCAAGCCAAAGATTAGAAAAATATTATGATTATGATGGTCAAGCAAAGAATTTACAGAAATATGAACTTTTGCAGTTATTTCTTGAAAACATTAGAACATACCTTACAGTATTTCGGCAGAAAAATGGACTTGCAGACTTTCAAAAATTCAATAGAACTTTCAATTTTCATTTATTGTTAAAAATGATCCCGAAAGTTTGTATTTTTTTTTTCCTATTTATATTACACACGCACACAAGTATATATGTGTGTATGTTAATATACATATGCGTATATTTGCATATTTTTATCGAAAAGTCCCTAATTTTTTTATACTATATATAAGCTCATTTTAAGTTCAGTTTTTGATTCTATTTTGGCTTCTACACGGGTTAAAGATGATATTTCATTTAAACAAGTTGTGGCGAAGGAAATTTTTACACTTATGTGAGAAATTTCAAGATAATTTGCATAAATATACAACCAAAAATAAGTTCTCTGTCTAGTATTTAATTTTTAATGTCAAGTCTGTTAACAGTAGTTGTGTTTTTCCCATAAATAATAAAGGATCTCATTTATTGTAATTGTGTAGTGGATTTCTAATCCAGTCATGTTTGTCAGTTTCCTCAAAGAAATATCCTTTTATAATATGTAAAACTTGTAGAGACATTAGGTAATTTTTGGAAGCAGAAAGGATTAAAAATTTTCAACTCCTTCGTCGGGAATCAAACCATGGACCTCTGGAAGCATGCAGACGACTACACCATGAAGGCACGCCAAGAAGGTGGGAAAAATACATTATAAACATTTTTTTAATTTTCAGTTTTCAGCAGAAAGTAAAAGAAATTTAAGAATTGCGAAAAGCAAGCTACCATCCTCAGTCCCTAAGTAATTTCTTTGGCATGAGATTTGACATCATTTGGTCATATGTATTTGAAAACGAATCAAGCAAAATAATTACTGAATGCTGTACAGTTCTGGAGCCGTTTCTTCAGGATGTTATGGGTCCTACATCATGAGTGATGGTTTCAACAGAATAAAACAACAGCCTACACAGGATCTTCTTGACCATCTTTGTATGTTGTTTTCGAAACCACTAGCATGAGTTATAGGGGCATCAGCTTTCTAGCCTGATTGCCTAATCTAATCATGAAAAGATTGTTACACGTTCCGAGCAGTTATAAGCAATTTTTGCATTCCACCCTTACGTGTTCTCTTACTCCAAGTGGCTGGCAAGCTCAGTCAGCAAACTGGAAGATGTGTGGTTCCAATCCCGACGAGAGTACAGCTGATTTTTCTTTCTAGCAGGGTGCAAACCTTCTACAGATTTCTTCACAAAAAACTCGAAAAATTAACTATACCTTTGTCGAGATTCGAATCTCGGATCTTCCAGTTGTCAAATGGACGTGCTAACCATTTGTACCACAACAGCATGCACTGGGAAATTTGATAATTCTTTATATCCTACAGCCACTTAACGACCGACTGCATAGCGGCATAAGACCAAGTAGTGGTGAATTATCATCCACCGCCTACTGATTTAGGTGCCATTGGTAAAGAATGTTAAGTTTTTGAAAGCAGAAAACATTAAAAATCCACTATGCTGTCGCCTAGATTCGAAGCACAGATTTTCTCCTGCCTGCTGCACAAAGTAAGCATATTTATATCAAGATGGAATGCTCAGAGCATTGAGATAATTTCTTATGATCCTAAGGTATATGGTATGCACATAATATACCTTGTTACTGTTATTGTATTAAAACGCCAAATTTAATTATGTGTGCAACAAACGTTAAGCTGATGCTTTTCCCATATCGATTAAAATAATGCAGTGAGCAACAGAGTCAGCAACATTTGTTCCATGTTTAACTATTTAAAACATGATCATTGAATCATTGTAATACTATTTAAAACAATAGAAAACTTCAGAAATCTATACAAAATATCTGAAAGAAAATTCATATTTTCACTTTACATTGTTATTTCCTTTTATGTTTTTGACGCGTTTTTTTATAAAATATAAAAGAAATACTTAAGATTATTATTATTAGCCCAGAAGGACTATTATTCCCGAAACGTGATTTTGAGTTGTTTCATTTTTTATTCAAATCTATTGCCATTTCGAAAAACATAAGATATTTTTTATATCGGAAAAAGTTAATGCGTATGCCGTGGATGCAATGTTTACATTTAACAAAGTGTTAACCGTCGTCCCAGTTTTTTAATATTCGCTTTAATATATAATTATAATATATAAGATTATAATTTAATAGTCACTATATTGTAGAATACTATGTGTAGCATTTTACAATCTATATTTTGTACAAACGCTCGTTAGGCTATCAGATTTTAGTTTTAATGCCTAAAAGAACACTTGTTAGAATAACTGATTTTTTTTTTTTTTTTCCCAGCAATGGACCTTTACTATATGAAAGAAAAATAAAAAGTCGTATGTCATTCTTGATTAACAACGGGCTCTTGTCTTTCTGATTTTTTTATAACGCACAGAATGTTTATGACTAATCCAAACCTATACACATCTTCCAGCCCTTAAAAAACTAAGGTAAGAGAACAATCACTGCGAACCTTTACTGCCATATCGATTCCCAGACGGCAACGTGTGCATCTTCTCCCATCGAAGATTTGGTGTTAATTAATTCGCAGCCTGTCCTTGTTTGATCCGTTGGTGCTGTTGTTTGCCCAAGAAGAGAACGCTGATCTTAATCCCTCGCTTGCTGTTTGATCCTCACTCGTAAAATCTCCAACCACCTATCCCCCTTCGAAGTTCTGCTACTGGCGCAGAACCTCTCCTCACCTGCCCTCATCGGGTCTTTGGACGAAAAGGGTGTCGTCGACGAGTAAACAGTTGTTTCGGAGGATGGGGTCCTCACAAGAGTGCCTATCGTTATCATCTTGGAGTAGTATAGGCCCGTCGAGAGTTGGATTGCTATGTGCCTCATTCACTCCATCGATTACATCTCGGGCTTTTCGATTTAGGGGATGGTCGTCCGTATTTATCGTCCACTCGCCCTGAAGGAGATTGAATCGCCGTCGCAGATTGAATAGGAAGAGGCTCGAGTGTGTTAAGTGCTTCGTGAACGGCTGAGAAATGCGCTGTAGTCGCCATGTGTGTTTTCAGAGACTGGATTTGGATTTGTATAAGGAGTGTTAGTAGCAGATGTTGCATCTAAGTGTTTAATTATTTTCGTGCAGAGTAAAGAATGAAATATTAAATGCTGTCCAATCTCTAAAATACGCAACGTGGCGCTTTAATCGGGTTGGCTTCTGAAAGAGTTAAAAATTTAAACTGAGTTTTAAGATTGTTTAAATGAGTTTAAAATTTAATCTAAAGAAAGGAATAAATATTTTTTCATATGGTTTCTGATACACCGAAGAAAACTCTAATTGAAAGTTACTGCTTTCGGTTTCCATAGCATCATGCCCGCGATAAGTAGAAGTTGTTGGCTTAACAAGTTCCAGTAGCTTAACTCCTGTCCAGCCATTCTTATCTTATCTTTTCACCTTGTCCTATCTTGTTCATTTGCACTTTGGCAGCTGAAGGTGATGGTTCGGTAAAATCATCAAAACTAGTCCTGAAAAAATTTGCAAATATAATGCTGATTTTTGTTGTTTGCCTTCTAAATTAATTATTGATTAATTGAACATGTTTAGAAGAAACAGACAATTACTTATATGCCATTGTGGGGCATATTAATCAATAACTGCATTTGCATTATAGTGTACATAGTATTTTCTATTCTTGAATAGGATTTCTGCCATTCAAGACTAAATAATAATATTTGAGAACTGAATAATAATATACTGAAAAATAATATTTGAGAAAAATTTTCTTTTCTTTATTCTAGGAAATATCTGGTTTATATGGCGGAGTTCTAAATGACCAAATGGGTAATATTATTTTATGTCAAAACAGTTAGTTTTATGTCTTTTATTATATTCATTACATTATCATTTTAGAATAGATCATTGTGCTATCAGTATTGTCATTGAATTTAATGACTATGTGCAAATTTTCATTTTGAATAACTTTTAAAAAAAATACTTTTTGTTTAAAATGTGAAGTAATTTTCTTTAAAGAAAAATTACTCCTCATATATATTTTTATAGAAGTAAATTTTTAAAATATGTTTTTGTTTTGAATATTAAAATGTTTCATTTTGAGGGAAAATTCAGTATATCCAAATGTAGTCTGCATGGTAACTTTTTAGTATTTGGTAGGTTCAGATTCTTATCAATGAAGGTAGTGCACGAAGATGTAAAATAATTCTGAAAATCAAAGATTTGATTGATTTAAAGGGCTATTAGAGCAAGGTATTGACCTTTTCTTGGAAATAGTTCCAAACTGTGTTTACATTATTTTCATTACCCTTAAAAAACAAATGTGAGTAACGCCCCAAAAATCTGTGAATGCTGCTAATTAATTTACACTCTGATATAAATCTTACTAAAAGATTTGAAGATACAGGTTTAATTCATTTTTTCTTCATACCGGTGAAAATATAAATATGCTGAATTATGAATTTTTGCAGTAAGCATAATTGCTTTGAGAAATACATTTATATGTAAACAACCTTTTTTTTTTTTTTTATTCCCAGTTGAAAATTAACTAGTCTAAGAAAAGAACCAGATTGTCTGAAACTATCTACAATTCGTAATCTACAATCGACCGCAGATTTAAAAAAAAAAAAAAAAAAAAAAAAAAAAAAAAACTTTTGCATTTAATATCATAAAAATGTATTTGTTCATAACATCGAAAATTAACAATTTATAAAGGCATTTTATCTGAACTTCTTAAGAAGGTTTCGTAACAAGCGGTATTTTGTAACATTATCATGAATTCCATCGAGAGTGAATCTTGTAAGTTGTGGGTATTTTTTCTTCACAATGAAAATGTATCTAACTGTAAGGATTAAATTTTGGTTATAATCTGTAGATCGGAAGATCTTCTTCTTTCTTTTAGTTTTATTCAAATGTTAATATATATTTATAATATTTCAAAATTTTTCTCCTGAAACCACTTTAAACTGAAACCACAGTATAAATGAGAAAACCAAGTATTTAAAAATTTAAGTCCATTTGGAGTTGAATTAATTTTTTCCAAAAATATATATATTTAAATTTAGGCAAAAAACATATTGGCATAGATTATGAATAAAACTGTATCGATTTCTACGTCTACCTAATAAAGGCCGCGTTTCTTCAGGTAAAAAAAGAAGCACTTAAAACAAAAATGTTTTTGGTATTTTTTTTTCCCCTCTTGAAAAAAAAAAAAAGACTTAAAATTTTTAATAATTAATTCAACTTCAGCTTGCAAGTCTTTAATAAACAATTAAGAAGAAAAAAAGAAAGAAAGGGAAAAAAGTTAATTTTGGAAACTTTCGAGCTGAAATTTTTGAAAATTTGCGATTAAAACTTTTCAATCTTGTATGAGAGATTTGTAACATTTTAAAGAAAAAACTTTTAGAGAAAACCGAAAAAATATGTCACCGAATTATGTAAATTACGAAATAACACTATCTTTCCTTCTAAAGAATTTCAGGGATACCAAACTATCGAAAGAAAAAATTCTTCTCTAAATTTTCAGAAATTTTAAACCTTCAGAAAGAGAATAAATACTAACCAAATAACAGAACACAAATCAAAATAAAATATTCTGTCACAAATTGTAATGTTGATTCAACATGTTCAGTAACAAATAATTGCTCTCTTTGACTTCCCGATTTTCAAATTTTAACTGTTCATGGAGATACTCAGATTTTTTTTTTTTTTTTTTTTTTTTTTTCAGGTCTCTTAAAAAGGTGTATGTAAATAAATCATTACTCATAAAAGAGCATAAAGTCAATATTCCAAGAACGGTTGCAAAGATTTTGAAATTTTATCAAGAATTTTAGAGAATTCCCTGGATAGAACAGGAACGAGTCGAGACCACTATTTGCCAAATAAACTTTTTAAACTATAATGTAAACACATTTCCATAGATCGTAGTTATTGTAAAAAAGAAGAAAATAAATAATACTGAAAAAAATATTATTCATGATTGAAATTATAACAGTAATTATCTGCTACCCTGTGAAAAGACTAGAAGTCTGGTATTCAAGAATGGAATACAAACTATCCAATAAAAAAAAAAAAATCAGTCGAATTTATTATACGCATTCTATCAAATGTAGTATGACATAGTACAAAATCGCATGTCTTTTATAAAGAGCTACACTGAACAAAGCATTATGGATCATCGCCTTGCTAAATTCCATACTTTCGGATACAATTATGACTGGAAAGACAAAGAGGGCGTCAAGTCTTACATCCGCAGATTATTATGTCAGACGTGTTCTGTAGAAACCCCCCAAGCTACTCATCTGTATCAATTATCGTGGACGATTATCCAGAAGAAAATGACGCCAGTAAGGTTTAACAAAACCGTTGATGTACAGGCTAGTATGACATCCGAAAAGAACAACTTAATAACAATGTAAAGTATAGAGAAAATTGGATGACTTTTATTACTTTTTTTCCCCTCCACGAGTTGTTAATTAAAGGAATCAAAGTCTTTTGCCCAAAGGCAAAAAGCATTTTTTTCTTCTTTCCCGCTCTCAGTATTGTAGAGTTTTACTTATAAAATATTGTTCTGTCTTTGCTTGATGTATCACTAAGGAAAAACGTGCAAAGTTTATGAAATGACGAATTTTAGATGAAAGATGCGAGATAAAAATATTATTAATTATTAATGAGAAATTCCTTTTAGAAAGAAATATTCAGTTTAACTCATGTTTATGCTATATTCCAGAAATGGTATATAATAATATCTCGAACTTGCTCAAGAAATCTTTCTTAGGCAGATGGTGCGAGTCGAAACGAATTATTCTCTTGACTTAAATTCCAAACAGCATTTTGCCCACAGAAAATCGCTGAACGCCAAGTTCGCTGGAATTTGATCCGGGTTCAAAGTCCGGGGAAGGGACTAGTTAGAGTTTTCGTGGTTTTCCCTTTATTTCTAAATAGCCACTTAGGTGGCCAGCCGCCTAGAATAGTTATTATGAAAACGAAAAATGTATATAATGATTTTAATGCGTCCAGACAGAATAATTTCATAAAAATATTTTCTAGATATGAAATTATATTATTAAGTATATATTTGTTTTTTAAAAACTGTGAATTAGTTCTTTTTGTTCTTATTGGCTTATATGGATTATGTATAGTTCTTTTTTAGTTTTCTTTTTATTGATATGCATATTCGTGTCGGGGAGGTTTTCTGTAGACAAGGGTTTCTAAAATACATTGGTTTCTAGATTATTTTTTATAAAAAATTAATTTTTTAAAAAATTTAATTTTTTTTAAAAAGTTTAATTTAATACTTGACTTTACTTGCTTGTTTCTCAAAAGACTTCATTAGTATTTTCCTTTTAGAATTTTAATTCTTAAATGTTATTTCTAAGGGTACCACTTTATTGGTATTTCTTTTTGAACATTCTTCACTTTTTACTTTTGGTTTTGACTTTTACCCTTGCCTGCATGAATGACGAAACACGAATTGAATGATTGGAGAGTTAGGTATGGAGGCAACTTCCCCTTGATAAGTCTGTCTCCTGCCTGCTCAACAGTCATTCACTTATGCATTTTTAAAAAAAATTCTTTGGATTAATTTTAATTTTCTAAATTAGTGAATTTATTTTCATGGATTGGTTTTGCACTTGATTTGCTTATGCTTCTGAATTTAAATGATATTGTAAATTAGTTCGAGAATTAAATCTTTTATATGTTGACACATTTTTTTTAAATATTTTTTTTTTAAAATTTTTTTGGCTTTAAATTTGCTTTTTTAATTTTGGCTTTAAATTTGCTTTTTTATTTTTATACGTGTTTGTTAAAATTTAAATTTAAATTTCATTCCTTGCAGCAATGGCGCAAAGAATTATTTAATTGAATTTGTATTTAAATTAAATTTAATTAAATTCAATTTTCTTATTAAACAATAGTGATTCTTATTAGATATCTCATGATTTAAATGCATTTTTATTTAAATCTGTATATATTAAAATGTGGGAAAATACCAAGAGCTGCTTTTAGTGCTTTCTAATCGCTTGGTTTGTTTAAGCAATATAAATATGAAAGTGAAATATATTACGCTTTACGGAATGGCAACATGCTGACGCATGGAAGATAAAAGTATTTTATTTCAGGCAGTGGGAACATATTGCTTTGAAATTCAAGAGTTTGTTGATTAAAACTGAACGATATAATACTCGTATCATAGATTTTAACGAATGGCAAAAGTCTGGCAGAGAGACAAAAATATTGAATTAAAATATTTAAAAAGAAGTAGTGTTACTAGTAATCGCTTTTAAATCTTTGAGTTTGATTAATTAAATTATGAAATAAGTAAAAAACGAATTCGAAATTCAAAATTCGGGTCTAAGGTGTCCATGTTAGTGGATTCGGGCCTAAGGTGTCCATGTTAGGACTACCTGTTTTCCAAATATAGGGGCTCTAGGTGCTACCGTTTTTCTATCATGCAAGGAACACACATACATTGCAAACAGATTCTTCGTTAGCTGAGATGAGATTAGCTGAGAGAGGAATACGAGCCAGTTTCCCTTAAAAAGTTTTTCATGAAGTCATTCCTTTCCATAGGCAGATAGCCGTGATGTGGTTCGCCGGAATTTCATAATCTTTCTTCACGATTACCTCTAAATGGGACAGTGTTTCTGAGAACTTAAATAAATGCTGATCACCAGCAATATTCATTTTTACTTCCCTGTACAGGAAGTATTGTAACGGCAAAAATTTTGGGTATCATATTTCAACGGAAAATCCATTGAGTCCGTTCTCAAATCCATTCAAACGAATTTTTTACGTGACGTTATAAGGTATTTCTCCAGCCTTCTTAGCGTGCCTTTGTATTGTAGTGGGTTGCACACTGGGCGCGTATTCCAGAGGTCCGTGGTTGGATTCCCGGCGAAGGGGTTTCTCATTGTTCATCTCTCCTGCTTCGCTTCAAAATAACCCAATATCTCTACAACGTCTGTACATAGGGACAGATTAAAGAACTTTTTTTTTTTTTTTTTTTTTTTTTTTTTTTTTTTTTTTTTTTTTACAAAGAGCGCTCATTGTAAAATGGATTCAAAGGGAATTTTTTTTGGGGACGTCTGTACATACGTACGTATGTATTAATCGCATAACTCAAAAACGATCAGCCATAGAATATAATTTTGTATATGGGATAATAAAATGTTGTATATGGGACTAGTATAACACCTAGGTGTGCGCGCCCCTTTTTTATTACAATCGGTAGTACCAGACGAACATATGAATGTAAAATATAAACTATGCAAGGCAATCACTAAAACAAAATTTCTGATTTAAAACGTAAATACGACCCCCTTCAAATCTGCACTGAAGCATCATTTCTTTCCTTGCAGTATTCCATAAAAACAGCAGCATAACAAAATTAAAAGGCTTATATTATGAAGAACTTACCGTTGGACTCTAAATTTAATTTATACAATCATATTTTGTCCTAGTATTTCTAAATTACATCTTGGAACCGTTTATTAGCTTTCATATTGAAACTGTAAATATTTTATTATAAGGTATTTCTCCCTCCTGCTTAGCATGCCTTCGTGGTGTAATGGTCAGCACGCTAGGCGCATATCGAGAAGATCGAGTCCCGGCACGGGCATTGCTCATTTTTAATCGCTTGCTTCGAAATAACTTAATGTCTCTACTGTATAATATTTCTCTTTCTTTGCTTGAGCTCTAATGCTTTTCTTTTTTTCTTTTGCAAATTTTTGCTCAAAAGGCTTTTCTATTGCTAATCCTTTATCTCCTTGAAGGGAAGTGGGAATATGTAAATGTAAAAATTTAAAGACAACCACTAATAAAATTTTGGTCATAAAGCTTTAAATTTCAGACTTTAAATATAAGTAAAACCCCTTCACATCTGCACTGACGACTCATTTCTTTCTCTACAATACTCCACAAAAACTACAGCATCACCATATAGATATTTACTCTTTTACCCAGTTTTAAAGTCTTGACCCGGTCTTTATTTTCGCGATCTTTGGTGGTAGTCATATGTATTCCATTGCAGGCGAAAGTAATTACTAGTAATTTTTCAAATGTCGAAAATATCCATGTTTTGGCACTGTCAAATTAATATATATATATATATATATATGTGTGTGTGTGGTGTGTGATGTATCAGCTTTAGTCGTAGCTTAAATAATCAGACGATAAGTTTAAAAAACAGGATTCATTTATTATTGTTCAATAGAAATAGCAGTTACAAAAATCAGATATCCGGAGTAAATAAAAAGAATTACTAATAACTTTTTGTATGAAGTTTACTGCGTAGTTACATTTAAGAAAAAGCCCCGATATTCCTTTTGTGAGTCTTTTTATAGCCTCTGGAAAGGCGGAGCTTCCAAGAAATGACGTCAGCCTCGTCAGCCAATCCAGTTCGCTTTAAATACTTCCAGAACATTCTAAAACTGTACGTGTAGAAAAGGCGGGAAAAACAACTTGACTACGGGGCTGTGGATTTAATTCCACGTACTTTCAAATAAGCGAACGTCGCCATTAAAAATGAAAAGAACATACAGTTAGAATTTTAAGTGGATTCTTGACTATAGAATTTTATTATTACATATATATTTCGACAAATAACGAAATATGACTTTTAATGCGATCTCTTGGTTCCTGTAATTACTACAATTTTACACTCGTTATGAAAAAATAAAATTAGAAGTTAAACTCCCGTGCGACAGAAATTGATTGGGGTATTTAATTTCAAAATTTGCAACTTTTGATGTCATTTTCAACTTTTCTTGAAGGATCTTTTAATGAAGTTAGAGTAATTCGAGGAAATAAGTTTAAATGAAATTCATAAAAAAAAATGTATATAATTCAACAAGTCGTAAAAGGAAGTCATGTGGTGTCCACGTCAGATATTTTTTAAAGTGGTCACAGTTACAAAAGACCGGAAAAGCGCTGCTTCCGGGATACCAGAGACTTTTTTTTTTTTT